AAAAAAAAAAAAAAAGAAAGAAAAAGAAAAAAACAAATCCGAGACTCCTAGAACACAAGAAGTAAAACAAGAACCAATAAATGGGATGGATTCAAATTGAAAGGCTTCTTCTCAGCAAAAGAAAACAATTAATAACATGAGGATAGAACCTACAGATTGGGAGAAAATCTTTACCACATGTACCTCAGAAAAAGGATTAACCTCTAAGAAATATAAAGAACTCAAAACACTGAACACCAAAAACAAAAACAAAACAAAACAAAAAACAAATAATCCAGTCAATAAAAGGGCTAAGGAGTTGAACAAACACTTCACAAATGAAGAAATACAATTGATCATCAAATATATGAAAAAGTGTTCAAAATCTCTAGCAATTAGAGAAATGCAAATCAAAACGAAGATTTGATCTCACTCCTGTCAGAATGGCAATCATCAAGAATACAGGCTACAAAAAATGTTGGAGAAGATGTGGTGAAAAAGGTACACTCATACATTGCTGATTGGACTGCAAATTGGTGCAACCACTATGGAAAGCAGTATGGAGATTCCTCAGAAAATTGGAAATGGAAGCACCATTTCACCCAGCAATCCCATACTTTGTTTATACCCAAAGGATTTAAAATCAGTATACTCTAGTGATGCAGCCACATCAAGGTTTATAGCAGCTCAATTCACAATAGCTAGACTATGGAACCAACTGAGGTGTCCCTCAGTAGATGAATGCATAAAGAAACGAAGAAACGGTGGTATATATTCACAATGGAGTATTACAAAGCATTAAAAGTGAATACAATCATGGCATGTGCAGGTAAATGGATGGGGTTGGAGAATACCATCCTAAGTGAAGTAAGCCAATCCCAAAAAACCAAAGGCCAAATGTTTTCTCTGATATGTGGGTGCTGATCTATAATGGGGTGAATGAGAGGAATGGAGGAAGTTTAGATAGGGCAAAGGGGAGGGAGGGAGAGGTAAGGGGCAGGGGTTAGGAAAGATGTTGGAATGAGATGGACATTATTACCCTAAGTACATGTATGAAGACACGAATGGTGTGATTCCACTTTGTGTACAACCAGAGACATGAAAAATTGTGCTCTATATGTGTACTATGATTTGAAATGCATTCTGCTGTTATGTATAACAAATTAGAATAAATAGATAAATTTTAAAAAACACTGTAGAAAACAGTGGAAGCTGGTTCTTAATATTATTTGTGAAAATAAGTAATTTGGCTGAATTCCACAGGGCATGCATTCAAAGGAAAGGCACTGTTGAAGAACCTACTCCATGTTTCCAGTCTGGCTACAGCTAGCCATGCTTCTAAATATAGTGGTGTATCAAGCTCTGGCACACAGGGTCACAGGTATAAGCAGACAACAAAAAGCTATGACACTGTGTAGAAAGTTGCAAAAGCTGTGAATCCTGGACAACATGCTGTAATTATTCAAATTCAACCCAAATACCTGTAATTTCATAAATAATAACACTGTATAGAATAATCTTTCCATGGCATGGCTCTGAGAGATAAGAAGAGCCAAAAAGGCTTTTTTGTTTCTATTCTAGGAACGTGGCTAGGAACATAAACAATGAAGTCATGTTGCCTGAATACAAAAGCTCTCCTCCCAAACCCCCAGCTCTGGCTTTGTGGAACGTAGACCATATGGATGCATGACTTGACTCATAAGTCCCAGAAACAGCTATAAATAAGGGTTCCATTATTTGCATATGTGTAAAACCTACAGGAAGTTGGGTGGAGAAGGCAGAGTCAATGTCATCTCATAACTTACAGAGGCCAATTGTAGCATGATTATAAGGAGCTACATCCCCAAAAAATCTCCCAGAAAAAAAGCTCCTCACCACAAAGTGTCACAGCTTCATTATACCCTCACTCTGAGAAGTCCATGTTATTCCTCTGATGGCCACAACAACTCGACTCTTTGATGGCCATGTGGCCTACACAGCTACCAAAGAGAAAAAGGGCACTCCTTGCCTTCAGATTCCCACCTGGAAGGGAGGATACCAGGGATTTTAACCCATACTGCAAAAAGGAACCTATGTTTATGATGAGTAAATTACAAGGAAAGTTTTTTTTAACAACATTGTAGTGAACAATTTGTTTTGAATGAATTTTCGTCTAGTGTTAAAATTTACATATGTAGCTATGTATATTAAAATTCTATATTAATTTGGAAAAGGAAAAGAAAGCAAAACCAGTATTCTATGGTGAATTTAGATTTCTGAAAGAATACAGAATTAACTTTTGCTTACCTTTTGCAAAGGAACTTTGAAAGCAATGAATCCAGTCTCAGGCATCCTCTGTCCAACTGGGAGGTGGTCTTTCCACCTAGTGGATATGTTTTTGGTTAGTCAAACTGTATGTTAGCCTTGTCTCCCTGAACAGAATAAAGGCTTCTGGAATACCACAGTCATAGCCCACAGAGCATGTCCCTATTCTCTGCTTCTCATTCTGCCACTTATTCATTCCTGCCTGATAGTAACCCTTCTTCCCATTTGCCCATCTGGAAAACAGATCCAAGGCAACAGAACAAAGGTTTCCAGAAAAAAGCAATATCTAAAATCAGATGGTCAGAACTTCTGCATCCCTGACAAAAGCTAATACCAGCATCAAATACTGAGGTGTTATTAAAACAAATACAGGACAATAGTTTAAATTCAATTCTTTCACTAAACATGATGTTTTCATCTTCATACATCTGATAGTATCAAATTCAGTCGGTAGAGAACTTAAACTTTATGTTTGAAAACTCTTCCAAAGAAAAGGGACTGTGAACTTCTCTTGAAAATACTAGGAGTCAACCCTGAAAAGTAATATTTGTACTCACTTCTATAGTACAAGTTAAAATTAAGTATAGTTAATTCAATATATCTGAAGCACAGAAAGTCAAGAGAAGCAAGAAATGGGGCTGGAGAGGCAGAGAGGATTCCAGACCATACAGGACCCTATAGACCATGTAAGGAGATTCCTTTTATCCTCAAAATAATCCTTTACTCTGATGTCTATGAGAACTATGAACTTCTTCCAGTTCCATTTCCATTTCAATTTTTTGTAATGACCTATTTAAAAGATTTCTGCAAAAAACATACTGGAAGAATGAAAAGAATAGATCTATGGACACCACTGGACTCCTATGCCATAGGTCAGGCAAGACCTGCATTATGATGTTGAAGGAGATTCAAAAGCTAGCTGATTCAAAAGATATTCAGGAGATCAAATGAAAGGGACTTAATGTAAACTTGGAAAGGAGGAAGGAAGCTTTCAAGGTGTAAACCGGTTCACTGCAAATATGAACAGAGTCTCAACACTAACCATCTGGATTACAGGAAGATCTCTCAGGTGACACTTGTTAGGAAGCTCCAGTTTGCCTTCGGTGATTCCTGAAAATAATGGAAAAGAACTTTACAAGACTGGTCTTACTCCAGGTACTGAGAAATTCATTCAAATTTATTTTCTTATTTTATTTATTTATTTGGTACAGGGATTGAACTGAGGGGCCCTCTGCCATATCCCAAGCCTTATTTTGAACTCTCACTGAATTCCTTGGCACCTCTCCACATTCTCTTCTCTCAGCCTCCAGAGCCACTGGGATTACAGGCCTGCTCCACCGCCCCCCAGGCTCAAATTGAAATCTTTTTACTCATATATTCTGTGGTTCAATTGAGGAGGGGGTTCCATTTGGATGATCAAGGAGCATCCCCAACACCAAGTCCCGCCTCAAAGTACTAGTAGACCCAAGGAGCAATGGATAGAGCCTTCCCCTTTTAAAAGGGTGGGCGAATTCACAGACTTCTACAGCTTCTTTCAGCTTCTGTGAGTGGCACAGGCAGGGTCAAAGTCTCTAATCCCAGCTTGGTGCGTGTGCCAAGCTCCTGGCAGCGACAGTGAGAGGCTAAGATACAAGACATGGAGCCCACGCCCAGAAGCTAAGAGCCAGAAGGGCCATCCCCAGCACCCAGGGCATATTACCTTTTCGCGATGCGGTTTCCATCTTTCCTCTTTGCTGAGAGACGTCCAGAAAAGTCGGGTGCCCGGCCCCAGCCACTGCGGCCATGACGCCATTGATTAAGGTGGGCGCTGAGAGGACGTCCACCCAATGCCAGCGGGTCAAAGGGTCAAAGACTTCAGTCAGCTCCTGGGTGCCAGAACAAGATACCGGGTAGGAAGAGCCTCCCTGGCACCTACCCACACAGTGCCAGGCGTGTTGCCACTGCGCCTGCGCCACCGCCCCTCGTGATGGAATCACGGGCTGGTTTGCTGAGTCGCTAGATTGACAAACAGGACTTTGGCAGCGACAGCGCCATCTATGGCCGGAGGCCTGTAGCGCAGGTTTGTGAGTTTCTGTGAGCACTGAGTTCAAATGGTACAGGACCTGCAATAAAAAATTAGGTCCCTCTGCACCCAGTTCCTACTGTATTCTTTGAGATGTGACCCAGTGTTTACATTTACATTTTGTGTATCTTATAGAAATATCTACTTTCACATATCTGTGTATCCTCTACTTACATTAGAAAAGCTTAGGATACGTTCTCTACCATGTGCTAAAATATTGATTTTTCTCCATTTATACTTAGACCCAAGTTTTTTAATGACCATAGAGCATTGCATGGACTATAAGTAACATAACTGAAAGTAACAGCGTTTATTTCACCGGTCCCATGTTGAAGGATCTCTAGTTATTACAAACTTTTGTTTTAGGTTTTGGTCTTCTGTTACAGACCATGCAATGCAATATCCTTACACATATGTACAACTATATCTAGAAATAGAAATACCTAGAAAAAATTCTAAAATTAAGGATACACAACTTAAAATTTAGAAGGATACTGCTTAATTGATCTACCAAAATTGTGTCAACCTACACTCCTATTCATAGACAGACTTTTACTGGGTTACTATTTCATAACATGCTAAAGTAGGTAACTCTTATGTTTTAGCAAATACCAAAAACAAACCAAAACTGAGAGACTTAATAGTGCAGCTCAGTGCAATATGTGCACATACTTATCAGGCATCAGGACTCAACATGTTAGGAAAACTCTGAATTCAACTACAAGTAGAAGAGCAAAGAACAGTGTGTTTCAAGACAGAAAAAAGATTAAACCATAGATAATCATGATAGTTATAGTATTTAAAAGTAAATTTTACTTTTTTCTTTCTAATGTTTTTAAGCACCTTACATGTACTGTTATTAACCTTCACAATTTCTGAGTTGGGTAAACTGATGGTCAGAAAAGTCAGTTATTAAATGATTGAATGAGTGAAGGAGTGGGCAAAAAGACCACATTAGCTTTAATATTTGGGGAACTGTCATATTCCAACCAATTTTCAACTTACAAGCATTTACAATTCTGAAATTCCACCCATAATTTAAACTGGGTCCATATCAGTAGGCTAGAATGAATAAATGGTACAACTGTTATAAAAAGGATAAAATATGGCACAATTTTCTCAGAAATTAGGATAGGAATGTTGGTCTTACATTTTAAGTTTTCAAAAAGACAGAAGTAGGGCAACAACAAACTCAATTATAGTTGACACAACAAAATCCAGACCTAGGCAAGATAGAGTCTCCAGGAAGTATGGGAACTGGCAAAGAGTAGGCCTTGGAGAGGGGTGGTTCCAACAAGGGGTAAAAGAATGTATTCACGAATACCTAGTACACTAGAATGGAAAATAGAGACAGGAGGAAGGGATATTTGCAGCTACAGGTAAGTAGCTGACACTAAAAAAAATGTGACAGTATCTGGTAGCTCCTACGTACCATATAGAGGCTAAAAGATTTCAAGTTTTTAAGAATACCAAAAAGAGAATATGGAGAAAACATGGAAGGGCATCAGGGATACAAGGTATGTGCCCAAGATGAGTCTCAGCTATTGTGATCAGCACAAAATGCAGGAATGGGATTGTCCCTGGGACAATACCCTCAATATAAAAACTGAGGGTTTAGGTCAGGGAAGGACTTGAAGCTAAGTTCCAGAGTGTTGGACTAAAGCTCTTTAGTACTTCTGACCACATTTTAGCCTTGTTTTAGAGTTTATGATGATGCTGAGACTACAAGCTACAATTGAATTATGAAGAGAAAATATTTATCAGGCCTGGAGACCAGGAGAGGAAAACAGCATTTAGCTAACTATAAGTGTATATTGGACCTGAATATTTTAGGATGTACAAATTCTATTGCTCTCAGAAATCATCTTACCATATGCTATAAAGTTTGATCTGGAATGTACCTAAAAGCTTAGTCTCCAGCTTGGCACTAGTGGGAAATGGTGAAACATTTAAGAGGTGGGGAGACAGACGCTGTCTCAAAATAAGATTTTAAAAGAGTAGCTGGTGATAGCTCAGAGTGATCCTGGATTCACCCCCAGCACTGGAAAAAGGGGGGTGTCTAGTAGGAGATCTTTTGGTCATCGAGGACCTAGGCTTCAAGGGGACAATGGGGTACAATACCTCCTCTTCCCCACCCTTCTCTCTCCTTTCCATCCCCATCATGAGGTAAGCAGCTTGTTCCACCATGCACTCCCTTCCATGATGTGCTGCTTTGCCACAAGCCCAAACGCAACACAGCCAACTGACTATGAACTGAAACCTCCAAAGCTGTGAACCCAAATAAATCCTTTCTCTTTATAAGGTGATTATGTCAGGTTTTTTTTTTATTCAGTAACAGAAAGCTAAGTAATATACCACATAACAACCAGTCTCACACCTACCACTTTAACCTGTAGTACCTAAGGATTCCCTGAATTCTATAAGAACACAGGGCATGATCAGGCTTGCAGATACTTATTATATGTTCTTAGTCTCATCTTACATACCAGTTTTACAAAAGTAAGTTATCTAAAGTATGAAACTGAGCTAAATACAATAAAAAGAACCTTGAAAAACTTTACATAGTTCCAGCTATATATTTACATTGTAAACCTTCCACAATTCCTTCTAAAGTAAGAATTATCCCACATACAACCATAAAAAAATCATATTTCATAATAAGCAGTGGAAGAGATGGGAAAATACACCTATTAATGCAATATTTTATCTTTATTATGAGTTTTATATATGAGTATTTATCCTTTATATTAGCTTGTCTTCCTCTGGGCTCTGATATCTTGAGTTGCACACTATCTACTCACTGGATCTAGAGGAGTACCCAGAGAGATCCATCCAGGCTTCCATAAAAGATTACCACCAAGGAAAATGATTAAATCCATAGATTGATTTACTCCCCCAAACCAGCTCAGTCCATATATAAATATAAATCATTAGCAACATAGGCCTGACATACTTCATTCCACTTACAGGAGAAGTTAGTAAAATAAGCACTTTACAGGGGTCAAAAGCAAAAGTAATCTAGGTCATGTTGGGCTGAATACCAGCACATTTAATCCTGAGTGCATAGTATAGCTTACAAAAATGCTATTTCCACATGCATTTCCTTAATTTCCTCCACAAATACATTAGGTCACATTAATACATGATGCTTCAAACATAAGAAAAACATGCAATATATCTTCCAATATTGGATTCCAAGTGAGTTGAAAATCCAGAGCCTTTAAAAGCTCTCTATAGTTTACACACTAATGAGTGAAAAAATGAGATGATATGATATAAAACAAAATAATATTTAAAATTTTTATGTTCATTATATAGAATTCATGGCAGTTTCTGGACCTTGTAGCTATATATATATATAAAATATATATATTTTAAGTGTCTATTACATATTTTTAAATTTATATTATAGGCACTGCGGCACAACCTGTAATACCAGAAACTCACGAGGCTCGCAAGTTCAAGAGCAGCCACAGCAACATAGCAAGGCCTTAATCAACTTAGCAAGACTGTCTCAAAATGAAAACTGAAAAGTGCTGAGGATGTGAAACAATGGTAAATTGCCCCTGGTTTAAAGTCCCAGGACTCTCCCATAAAAACTTACATCGTCTACTTAACTGGCACAAAATGAGACCAAAGAGTGCTGACATGTTTCTTACAAAAAAATTAATGTTAACCTCTTTTTTATTTACCCTCACTTTCCTTCTATTCTCCTAATGTTGTCTTCTAAGGATTCTCCTGGCCTTCCACCCAAGCATGCCAGACAAAGAATGTGAGTAGCCCAAGATTCTACAGTGGCTGTTTGCATGGGAGAGGAAGTCACAGTAACTGCCACACTGGATTCACTTACATAAAAAGACAGAAAGGATCCTCAGTGCCTCTTACAAATGAAAGAGCCTGATGGCAGGATGTCCACGTGACCCAGGGAGCTGTCCACAGGAAATTATGGCTGAAAGAATTACAACCAAATTATAGAACAGGGAAATTTTATGGAGAGCTGGGTCTTCCACCTCTTGAGTGTTTGCTTCCATTGTTCAGAGTATATTTTTCAAAGAATCAGGTCACAGAAAAGAAGAGCCCTCTTATGGAAGTTGGAAGAAGGTAATATTGATGAGTATATGAATGCAAAATCAAAGCTTGTCCATGAAAGAATGTCTACAATGAAGAGGGGTGGGTGAAGGAGAGCAGAAGAGTTACAAGTCCCACCTGGCCCATCCCAGCCCAAAGACAGTAGGATTCAAGGAGAAACTAAAAGAGAACCTTGACCACATTACTCACTACAGGGTGTACTCAAAGAATGTTACCATACTCTTTAGCTACGAAAGGGCTCTTTAGTGCTGAGGTTGTGACTCATTGATAGTGGGATCACCTAGCATGTGTGAGGCACAGGGTTTGATCCTCAGTACCACATAAAAATAAAAGAATAAAATAAAAGTTTTACATGTATCTAAGACTAAAAAAAGCTCTTTTTTTTAAAAAAAATTTTTAGTTGTTGATGGACATTTATTTTATTCCTTTATTTATATGTGATCCTGAGAATTAAATCCAGTGTCTCACATATGCTAGGCAAGTGTTGTACTACTGAGCCACCACCCCAGCCCAATAAAAGCTTTTGAATCTCTTTCTTTCATCCTTAAAAGTAGCAGTAAGTTTACTACTCAGATCAACTTCTATGGTTCCAGAACAACTACACTTACTTACTCTACATGTCTCTTTCTTCCATATCCATGGATATTAACTGTACAGGTAGTATAAAATTATTATATACATACTATTATGTTCACACTACTAAATACACACTAAGACCTACTATGATGTGAAACATAATATATAGCATATGAATAATTTTTAATCAACATTAAGAAAGAACAATGAGAGCTTGTGTTGTGGCGCAGCGGTAGACCACTTG